CCGTCCCTCCGCCAGGGACTCAGGGAAACGCAAGAGGTGGCGAGAGAGATCCAGGGTCCGGTCCAACCACGCCAGAGCCAATTAATTTTCAATCCTGCGAAAAACCCATTCAGATGAAAGCGCGCAAGAGAAGTTTCATTCTGCTGGGCATGCCTACGTGAGCCTCCAGCCGGTCCCCTTTAAGAGCTCCTTTCTTTGAAAGTTGGATTTTAGGCAGCGAGGACGCTTACACTAGGGGGCAGACAGACACTGTACTTGCTCCAATCTTAAGCAATTTTTTTTTTTCCTCTCTCCCCTCCCAGCATATGCTCTGATTTAGCACTGTAAATTTTTCAGAGGTCCCAACTCTGACAGCCCCTGGTGATTTTCAAAGTACCACAAGCCAGTGGTTAAAAATTGCATTGACTTGGAAGTTGAGAGGGACACAATGGAAACTCCCTTTTCCTATTTAGGGAGCTCCAATGTGGTCCAAGAGCAAAACACACAGGGGCTGGAGTGAGGGGCAGGGGGATCCACTGAGCCCGGCGCGCGGGGCTGGTCCCCACCGAGCCTGGGGCTGCCCGGGGCTGCCCTGGGCACTGGCGGGGCTCTGCTCCCATGGCCACTGAGTCGGTGGGGAAATTGCAGACGGCGCTTCGGTGGCTCCCCTCTGGAAAGAAATCATCCCTGGGTGGCTTTTCGTCTCTCCCTCTTTTCATTCCCAGAATGAGACAAAATGGTTTTTTTTCCAACTTTCTCCAGCCAAATTAAAAGCTTGCCATCCGTCTCGTTACAGTGAACTTACATCTGCAATGAAAGCCTGGGCTGGGTTTTTATTTTTATTTTTCTAAACGGTGACAATATATTGATATTTCTCGGCGAGTCTCAGAGCTGTTTTATTGCAGGGAAATGAGCATCTCGAAAAAACACATTTTAAAATTTTTTATTCCCCCCTTCTCGGTCTGTAGTCCTTTTATGCAGTAAAATTAACTACAGTGAATAGTCTTTTGTTTTGTTTTTGCTTTTTTTTTTTTTTTTTTTTTTTTTGGCTTTTTTTTTTT